TCCACAATTTCTAATCCTAATAATAAGTGTACATTAATCCCAAAATCACTTGAAATTGATATATCTTGTGTTTATTTTGACTGCATATAAAGATGGAAAACAAAAATTCTATCATATATCCTCAGAAACTCTTAGGGTGTGTTTGATTACATTTATTTTCCATGAAAAATATCAGTTTTCCATCCAAATTTTCACTTGGAGTGTTTGATTACTATTTTTTTCCATGGAAAATATTTTCCAATTTTTGAAAATATGCCTAATTTTCCTTGTTTTTAAGGAAAATATTTTCCTTTGGTAGAGGTGGTTTTTATTTTCCACAAAAGATGGAAAATATTTTTTTTTTAAGTGATATTTTCCATGTCAATCAAACACAATCTTAAAGTAATCCTGATTTCAGAGAGTAATTTGTGATATAAACATTTCAATAGAAACTTATTTTCAATCTTTAGTTCCCAACCTCTCATTCCAATAAAGGAAAATTACATTCATAACCCCACTTCTTCCCAATTATAATTATCCCTAATCCTCTAAGAAAGATAGCCCAGCTTGCAGCTCAATATATCAAAATAGATACACAGACAAATGGCTAAATATAATCCCACACGCCATAAGGAAAGGAAAAAAAATGCCGGTTAGAAGTTACCAATTTCCTCAATTTTTTAAACAAAGAAGGTGCACAATTTCTTTATGAGACTCATTTAAAAATTCAAAAATATACATGGAGCAACTGAAAAATTTAAAAGTATCATTTCTACAATCCTCCACAAGCAAAAAAAAATAATAATAATAAGGAAGAAGAAATGAATGCATAAAAATCAAAATAAAAAAATCAGTTGAATTAACAAGTTAAAACCTGAAACTCTATCCCGAGGATTTTCACCATTAATCAAAGAAAGAACGCAACTGTATATCAACATACCGAAAATTTCAGCTTTTTGAAGCTTAAAGGTCTTTTGCTTCGTCGGAATTTAGGGGTTTATCGGCGTTAATTGTTCTGCTAAAAATGATTCAGATGGGCCGTATTGTCCAAAATATATGGGCCAACTATATAGTAAGAGTGGCCCAAAACTCAAAAAAAAAAAAAAAAAAAGCAAAAATTGGGTCAAACTGTTAAGACCATGTTTGAGCCACGTTTTTTAAAAAAAATATATTCTTTTAAATAGTTATTTGATATCATTTCAATCACACATTTTTCAATAAAATAATATTACACGCAAATTCAAAACTTTTCTTTATTTGTTAACCATATATTTTTCATCAATACACTATTCAAAAATGCATTTTTAGAAATATAATGTAGCTCAAACAAGTGCTAAATGCATCAACTTAGGTACCCAACCTAATATTTTGGGGACCTCAGCCTCCGACTTGTCATTTTTGTTACGTTTGAGTCTCCATTTAACGATTCTAACCTTTTCTTTATTTATTTTTTTTAGACCCTTTTCTTTAATAAAGATACATTTAAAAAATAAAATAAAAATTTTCCCTTATGTTTAATTAAACAAAATAATAAAGAAAGAAAGAAAGAATTAAGTTCACTATTGTGGTCTATGTAATTTGGAATGTTACTACTATGGGACGTGGTCGTTCCATCTTGGTAGACGATTATTGAAAACCGTTAACACCGATGCAGGAAAATTCGTTTTAAGGAGAAAGTACCAAACACTTGCCTCGATCAATTCCATTTTTTGATTCAAAAAAGGCGAACTTTCTTTTGATTATTTGAAAGGTTTAAATTAAAGAACGTAATGTCTTTCATTTAGAATGGAAAGTCTTCAATTCATTTCTATATATTCGGTTTCGGTAAGTCGAACTTTGTGTTCGTTTTTATGCGTATGTAAAGATATGTTGTAGAATGAAATATATGCACTTATATCAGCGTAATTCCCTCAACAAAATTAGCAATGCCTAAAAGACATGTAAAACCTGTGTTAATTTTAATCGTATAAATATTAAATTATACTCTCGAGTTTATTTTTAGCTAAATAAATAAAAATCATGAAAAGACAAAGTGAAGAATCATAACACAAAAGAGCATGTTAATTGAGCAACAAAACTCATAAAGCATAATGAAGAGAATTCAGAGAATGAGAATGCACAGAAAATGGGTTAAAGGCAGATTCAGGCGGTGGAGCTCGGCCGCTAGGAGAGTCGTGTGGAGAACATCAGGTGGTGGAGCAAAAATGTTTTGTGATGGGATTTCAGTATGAAGAACAATTAGCAATCGTCAACCGACGAGGAGTAACTTGGTCAGCCGGTTAAATTAGACGTTTGGTTACCTGTTATTGCCAGTCAAATTAGTTGGAAATTTATCTCAATGGACAATCCATTTCATATGACGTGTCATTAATATGATTGATCTCATCTTCTCATCTAATTGGCCTTATTATTTCACTTCACATGATGATATCTTCTGCTGGAATAAATAGTGATGCTACCAAAAATCGTACCTGTAGATTTTTCGAGCTTGATGATTTGGATTGAGTACGATCGTAGTCTTTCGGTACCTGAAACAAAGGCAACGAGATGTGTGCTCGTCGCCCATTCGATACTTAAGTCAGAAAAGGGATTGAAAGATGAATATATGCTGGATATTGTGTGTGTAGAACGTACCTGAATAATGAACCTGGGTCCTGTATTTATAGTGGTAGGTAGTGCACTCCTAGTAGGATTGAATAAGTTGGACATCCTTATAGAGTCCTGCCTGAGAGAAGTATACGATTTGTAATATAATTGCATGACCAATGATACTATTGTTGACATAAAGTTCTTGTGGACGTAGGAGTCCTGGGTGGAGATGTTTGAATCACATTGAAATCCTCAGAAGGCAAGACTTATTATGGGCTCGAGGTGAATTGGCTGGAGGGGTAGTGCTCGAGTACTTAACCTCGATGACTTATGAGTTTAGGAGATAAAGTAGAGTCCTACCCCCGATGACCATGAAACCCCGAGGACTATACCTCAGAATTGAATTATAAGATTAAAAGTGTCCTCGAGATAATAGTCGTCGAGACATGTCAGTCCTCAAGTATACAACTTGGCAATATCAAATAGCATTATTTTTCGTGAAATTTGTTATTCTTTTAGTGGCAATGGTTGAATTTCGAAGGAGAAAGAAGCAGTCAGTGGGTAGAAGAGTCGCCTTGGAGACCTTAAGCTAGAGCTTGTCCGGTGGTGCCACATTTAGGAGCTTCATCAGGATTCTTTGGAAGAATATTATCAAGGATTAACTCAAATTGATTATGTACTACAGATTTGGGAGAAACAAGATTGAGAGAAGGAGATAGAAGAAATTTAGCAACTTTGACAAAGTTAGAATGATCAATTTTCGTGCTCAAGCAATGGCAGGGTTCAAGTCAGATTCGAGAGTATGGACTTCAATTGCTATCATACTTTTCTCTAAACTCAAATAAAGTTGCCTTAAAGGCTCTTCATAGAACTAGAAGACATGCTCAAGGAAGAAAGAGACAAGACAACTAGTGCTTATTCATCTTTGTCTAGTGCATACAAACCGTCCACCTACTCCTAATTGCTAGAATCCATCCTATCCTCGGGCTCCTTGATCAAGAATTGCCTATATGGCTTTAGATGCTCGGCAATGTGAGGCTGTCTATACTTGAAAACATGACAATGAGTTAAATTTTTTCTTTAATCTACAGAAATTTTGTAAAATTAGGTGCTTCTTGAACCTTAATGACTAAGTTAAATTTACCCTGAAAATTTCGAATTCGAATTCATGCTCTATATATTAACATCGTGCTTGGAAAGTGATTATAATTTACTCCTTTCTTGTCAATCATACTTTTCATCTACACATTTTGTATGATCTACAATTATTACCCACTTATTATCTACACATTCTGTAAACTCGCATCATGTAATTGCTTAGATTTTAAAATCACTTATCAAACACGCACGGGTACTTGTGGGTCGAAATTATAATCACATTATAATTTGAAGTCAAGAGATACATGTTAACACAACTTTCCAAATATTCAAAATACATCACAAGAGATATCAAAGTAAACACGATCTGCTGTAATTGTCAACGACATAGTGGCTTTCAGCCATGAAAGATTTATGTAGTTGACTAGTTAAGCAAACAAGCTTTTCACAGTTTAAGCAGGAATATTAAGATTCATTTGGAAACATAATTTGTCAACTGTCTCCATACATCATTTTACATATTTTCACATACATTTGTGGTCCTACGAATAACTTAGACTTTATTTAGCATTTTCCTGCAATATGGTTGTTATAACTTATTCTCATCAGCTACTTCATAAACATATACTCAGAGGTGGAGAAGGTGGCTTTTCTGCCTTGTCTGCAGTGGGGTCCAACGGGATTCCCAGGTTACCATGCTGACCAACAGGTAAGCCATCAACCTGCACAGCATTATTAACCGAAATAGCAGCAGTAGGTTCTGCAGGCACAACAAGCTTTTCGCTCTTGGCATTGGCTTTCAGTCGAAGTCGCTCAGCGCTTGAACCAATGATCTGTCCTATTATTGAACCTGCAATGGTTAATGCCATAGCGGTTTTGGGCATTACAACAGATTTCCTGAGCATAGCTATGAAGGGGACTGCAGCATGCACTGCAACAAACCATGGCAGGGAGAACTTCTTTGTATGCTCTCTCCAAACACCCAACGGAATATTAGTTGCAATTCCCAAGAAACCAATCACAAGCATCTTTTTGGGTAATGGTTGTGGCCTGAGGGTCTTAACAACTGCAGTTCGGGTGAGGGCTGCCCGTGCCGCAACTACTGCTGGTGGGCATTTGATCTTCATTGCTGGTGGCAGCTGAAGAGCTGAGGCCACAAGTGGGTGAACATGGCTTACAGTTCTATAGGACTTGGCAATTGGACAGTTCCCCGTCTCCAACCACTCATTTCCAAGAGCCTCATGCTTCGACGAATCGCTCTGAAAGATAACATATAAGGTTCACTCAATAAATAGTCCCAACTTATTGTCTAACTAGTCCCAACTTATTGTCTAACTAGATAGGTAGGGAAGTAATTAATTATAAAAAAGTTTCTCTCGGCTACAGACACTAAAACCATGGAAGAAATTATAATTATTATGATAATGTACAGGTGACAGATTGTTCTTTTTCCATGCCCTGATACGAAAGCATTAACACATGATTTTAGGTTTACATACACAATTAAGGTAGGAATCAACTCAAAGATCAGCATCCTAAGCAAACAGTATAGATATAATTATCATCTGGACATCTAAGAAGGTAACTTCAGCTTCCTCTTATGGGCTCCATATATTTCCAAAACAACCAATATCCAACTGATTGGATCAAACTCGAGCTTTCCAGTCAGTTTACTGGATTAGTGAATCCCTCAAAAATATTTCAGAAACTCTGCAAAAAGTGTATTACTTCCTAAGACATTTATGTCAGTTCTGATAAAAGCATTATATGTTAGTCATAAACATACCTTAGGATGCTCTTTCTTTCTGGATGACTCGGATTTCCCTTTTTTCATCTTCTTAAAGAAAGAATGAAAACCAAAGGGCCCTCCTGATCCAAATGCTGATGAACTGATAGAGGCTGCTAAAGCATTGAATGGAGGTGCAGCCCCAGCGTTGAAGTAGTCTACACAAAGCTGAGATTTTCCAGAGAGTGGGACAACCCCATCTGTCCCATGGAAAAGTCTAAAGGCCAAATCAAAGTTGAGGCAATCTTCAAATATGGGACCTTTGTTTCTGCTTAACTGCAATGGTATGAGAAGAGAGGCAGGTTCTTAAACTATTGTGAATAATACAAAAATAAGTATACTGAATAAATAAAAGAGCCAGGAAAAAAGAATGGTAAATAGACTAAAGTTAAGCATTATTGGACTAGCATCCATGTGCAGACGTGTTTTAAATGAATGGAGCATTAGAAACTGTTAAAATTTAGGAACTTACAGGATGAGAAAAATCAGGAAATACAAATGAAAAGTTGGTTGGTTTGTTGATGTTCATCAAGAAGGGACATTTATGAATATCCTGTTCACTCAAGGGGCAATCAGATCTCTTCTCGTTCAGTGGCTTTAACAAAAAATCCATTGTGTTTTCTGCCCGGAGAGAGCTATTTATCTGGAGGCAAGAACAAGGTGCATTATTATAGTATTTAAAATGGTAAACATTTCAATAGAATTATAGAATATTGAGGCCATATATAAGAGAACTAAACCATAGTTAAGGGACTGTAACATATATTACCTGGCAATTGCTATCATTAGCATTTCTTCGTCAAACTAAGTAATGGGGTATCATTAGTGTTACAGTTGCACTGACCATACTTAAATTTAAATAAGAATAGAGGAGTACAATATAAAGTTCTGTCCCATGTAAAAAAGACTAGTTTATGTGTTTGTACAAAGGGAAAGTGCAGGCTACAATTGTTTGCCCCACCTTCAAGCAGTTCAATCCCTAAACAACTTTCTTTCTTTCTTTACCTTAAAGATTGGCACTTCTTTCACCTGGGTGGTGTTAGTGGTTGGGATACTTGTTTGCATTGAATACCTCTAAAGTCATCTAATAGCATGACACGTAAAATTTGACATTTTGATATTACGAAGGAGATGATAAAAATCAGAAGAAACCTTTTTTTTAATTTCTGGGCACAGCTTCTCTAAATACTAAATACACCAACACTATCCATTCCTCTCTGTTTAAAGTGCAATCAATTTTACAACTAGCATGAAGTTAAGCAAGTATTGGTGAATTACCGCACCATGATACTGTGCAATCTAAAAGATTTCTTTTGTATTATCGCACTAGAATTTATGTTTTGACTTAACCAATTTTTCAGCAGAACCTGGCTAATGGTTTGTGGCCTTCCATTTTCATGGACTAATATCAGAGAGAATGAGAGAGCTGTCCATTAATGTTAGATTGCCTGTTGCTCATTTCTAATAAGATGCACACTAATATCAAAAGCTACGAATCACTATTTTGTAACTTTGTATTCTTTAAGCAAGAAACAATATGCAACTCATATTGTTAAAGTCATCTAAAGGACTAGGCACCTTTTAGGGAGAACTAGTGGGAAAAAAGACACGTAAACTGAAAGATGGCAAAACATACTATTGCACCAAGTTGGAAAACTAGCTGAAGTGAAAAGTGTCGGCCACATAAACTAAAAAACTTTATCAGCCAACAAAACAGCTCATGCAGAAATTCAAAAGAAATCTTTTAGATTTGAAGTGTAGCAATTAAACAATAAATCCAAAGTGGCACACCAAATGAGCGAATACTATCAGGCATAAATCCTAAATGTGGCAATTCAAAATCTTTTACATCCGAAGTAATTGCATTTATTGCCTGTTTGGCTATTTGCATCGCCACCAATTTTTGCAGGTAGATGTCATATTGCTTGTATATGTAGGAGACACACCATTCAGTTATATCCAATTGGCATTCATATGTCATGCTGTCCCGCATAAATCCTTGTTCGTATACATGGAGACAAAAATAGAAATCAATACTCGTACACGTACCCATTCAACGCAAACAACCCAAGCAAAATCCAAGCAAGAAAATTCAAATGTATCCTTCTGAATTTGAAGAGTGGATATTAAGAAAGAATCCAACACTACACAACCAAAAGAAGCTAATGCCATCAAAAAGCATAATCCAGCTAATGCCAAATACCGAGTTCGGAAATTCTGAATTTTTAATATAATGCATATCCTATAAAATCAGCACCATTTTATTAAGTACATCTGAACATTAAATATCAAAATTAAAGTACCCATAAATTTTTTGTAGACGAACACCCCCTAATGTAATTTAATTGTCAATCAATCCACTTTCTAATGACTTTCTTCAATTGGTATTTTCATTTCATCAACTGAATATCATTGATTTCTCAACTCATAAACACGTGAAGGTAGATAAACTAATGTAACTGAAAACTAATAATGCCTGAAAGAACATGTAAACCTGGGTTAGTTTTAATCGTTGAATACTAAACATATACTCCCAAGTGTATTTTTCAGCTAAATAAATCAAAATCATGAAAAAACAAACAAACATGAATAATCATAACAAAAATGAATATATAATTGAGAAATGAAACTTAAACGTGATGAAGAGAATAGAGAGAAGTGAATGTACGGGAAATGGGAAGGAGGCGGTGGAGCTCGGCCGCTAAGAAAGGCGTGTGAAGTACACCAGACGGTGGAGGAAAATGTTTTGTGGGGGGATTTTAGCATGAACAGCAGTCGTCAGGCGAGGAGGCGTTACGTGACTTACTCAGCCCCGGTCAAATGAGACGTTTTATTACCTGTTATTGCCGGTCAAATTGGTTGTTTACAAAGCAAGGATATGTGGGTCCGGGTTTATTTATGGTTGTGAACTTCAGGCTGCTGTGGATTTGGAAATTTGTCACCTTATTAGTGGCAACCGACAACCGTTGAATTTCTTCTTTTTGCTTTTCTTTTATGAATTTAGACTCCAAAATTCAATTCTAGGACCGAACAAAACTCTAAAATCGAATTTAGTTCAAATCCAAAATATTATTTTCCTATTTCAAATTTCTAACACTAACCCAATTTAATCAAATTGACATAAATTTTATTCAAATTTATTATTCTATCGTAGTGCTATTTTTACAATTTTTGAAAAATGAAATTGGATGCTCAGCTACGTCTCTCTTCATTATCATGAGTTCATCATTTTCATCTTCCTGTGATTTTAACAATTAAATCTAAAAAGAACTCAACAAGAGAGATGCAAATTTACATAAGATTGGATGACTTTATTTTGTAAAAGTTAAGGATTGAACATATAATTAATGGAATTAATGTAAAGTTGTTGTAAATATTAAAAAGTTTAATTATTGTACAGAACCCAGGACTAAATCAACTCGAATGGTTCCATAATTAAATTTGAACTCGACAATTTCATTTACTAAATACACAAAAATTTGGGTTCAGTCCGATTCTCTTTAAAATTGAATTGAATCAGACAATATTCAGCATTATTCAATTCCAATCATGCTACATACGTGGAAAATCTGACATAATATCACATGATATTTCGCCATTGGAATATTATAAATACAGTCAACTTTCCTACCCAATCACTTCCAACCGTGGCATCTTTTGTCATTGCATCTAGCTAGATTCTTCTTGCAAAATAGCATTATTCAATTCATACATCCCTATTTGATAAAAAATTAAAATCAGACTTTTAGTAAATATTTATAAAAATCAATGAGATGTTTGGTTGATTGAAAATTGAGAGTCCCACCAAACGTGATAAAAGTTGATTTTGACTTTAATTAAAATTTAAATCTTAGCGGCTATTTGAAACAATTTTTCCTGCCAAAAAAATAAACAAAAATACTTGATCGTTTTTTGGCTAGCTGGAACCCACTGTGAGAGTTTTGGTCAGCGAAGACGGCTACAAATGGGTGGCCAACGATTAAAAAAATCATTTTTTTGCCCTAAAAATTTCTTCTAACCGGTGGCTTAATCTCTATCAAACAAAGGCATGATCTTGAAAGAAACCATATAATTCAAATTTGTGAATAAATATGTGTGAATACTTTATATATTGATTGAAACTATTTTAGAGATGTAAACGGGAAGTTCGAGTTATGCTTTTATTTTTAATATTTTGATGTAGAAGAAAGTCGCGTCATTAAATCTGACCAAGTGTTAAGTGGTTAATCCATATTGAGAGCGATCGAGTTATATTACTTTTAATGAGACTTAAGAATTGTCAATTGCATTACTTTAATAGGTTTGATTTGAAGTATATAATTTGCTTATCAACTTCAGAGTGGTTGTGTTACTTTTTATAAGTATACAATTTGTAAATATTTAACTTGAAAATATTTGCCTAGTTTACTTTCAAGTTTGTACGTGCATATCGTAGTGGAACTTAGCCCAAACCCACTGAAAATGTAATGCTTTCTCGAGGTCACCGACCGTGTGGTGCACAATGAAGGCCAATTAGTTTGGGCCAGATAGTTGAGTGGTCAAATTGATTAATTCAAAACTCAGGCAATAAATTTAAATTTTCAAATCTCGGGTGATAACTAAATAATTAAAGATATTAAGGTTATAGTTTTACAATTAATGATCACAATTACATAATTATATGTTACAACTTATTTATTGATCATATATTATCAAATTAATTAAACACAAATCACAATTTTTATAGGTCACAACTAATTGAACGGTCAAAACTTTCAAAATAGTTAGTCACAAATTATTTTTCAACCACGAATTATCGAATTTTTATGTCACAATTAAATAATTAGTCACATATACCAAACATTTCACCCCATCCTCAATCCCAATCTACTACCAATACTTAGTCACAAATTAATCATGTAGTTGGTCACAAACACCCAGATGGTCAAAAATTCTTCATCCCCATCCCACCATCGATGTCGCCGCCACCACCATAACCACCATCACTAACACTACAACACCATCACCATCGCCGTCAACCAACAACACCAACATTGTTGCTGTTGAACACCACCACCATCCCACCAGCACCGCCAACATCACCCCCGCCTCACCACCGCAGCTAAAATCACAATCACCACCACAATTTGCAAAACACTTGCACAACTATCGTTACCTGCATAACCACTATTATCACCATCCACCAACAACCTGCACACTGATCAGAAAAACCTAATTTTTGCTCGCTGCTACTTTGCCTATCGATTAGAGGAATTGCTGCACAGTGACAATACCATCATCGCTATGTGCGATAGTCGGCCCATCAACTCCGCTACCGTATTGTGCGCAACGACACCCAGAGAAGTCAATCGTCACTTTGGAGAAGATGAGTGCTGCGACGACACCATCCCCACTGCATGAGACGGTTGGCTAATAGACTATGTCGGATTGTTGGGTTGTGGTTTGTGTGTGTGAAAGTGAGGGAGATAGAGTGGTGGTGGTTGAGGGGTACGTTGAATGGGTACCGATATTTGCATTCACAATTTTTATTTATGCATTCCACTCTATATACATTCCTATTAAAATTTTTAAAAATTTAATATTTTCATCCACGTCAAATTCCAATATTATCTTTATTAAGTTCATTCATTTAAACATTATAGATCCATACAAATTTTATATATTCATCCTACTTTAAATATATTTCTAATACAATTTCGAAAATCACTATATTTATCCAATCACTATCAACATTCTAATCTTATTCTTACTTTTTATTTTTTATATTATCATATCGGTGCTTTAATATTTAGTTATAAAGGTTAACAAATCTCTTTCTCTCCTTTTGAATTTGAAAAATTCTCTCAAAGGTATACTGCTCATACAACCAAATAAATATCTCCTCGAATCATATATTAATTAATATTTTTTCTTTTAAATTTATAATTTTGGTTGTTTGTGTTTCGATGATAATTTTAAATTGTTTCTTTTTATAATATAAGAATATTTGGACAAGTATTGAAACTTATTTTGATATTTCTCCTATATTTTCATCTATCAAATCAATATTTAAAAAAAAAGCATAAAAATAAGATTCCATTTTTCATATCATGAAAAAATTAAAACTCTAATAAAGTGTAGATTTTTTATTTTTTGATTTTTTATTGAAAATGATATTTTATGATTTTAGTTAAAGATGATTTTTCATGATTATTAGAATTTTAGTTAAATATAAACTCTAAAAGAATATAAAAAGGTTTAAAAGAATTTATGAAAAAAAACATTAGTGGATAAATTTAGAAAGATATATTTTTATTTAATTTTATATATGTCTATTTATGTAAATTTACATAAGATCAAAAATATAATATAATTATCTTTTTAAAAGTGGATGTATATATAAAAATTGTAAATGTAAATAGTGGTATCAATGTTGAATTAGGTGAGATTTTTAGGGTTTGGGTGTGTGTGGTTGTTAGATCAATACCTAATTTCTGCATAAAAATACTTCTCACCTAAAATTTGGAATGTGAATTTGTATTAACTAGAACCATGTAATTTCCTCGTTAAACAAAATAGAAATAAACTCATAAATTTTTTTAAAAAATTTTTGGGAAGAAAATTTTTGGAATAACATTATTTTGGGTTGAGACTGGGTAGAGTGGGATATAAATAAATAATTATCGGATTAAAACTGACTTTTATATGATAGGGGAGCAGGATAGATCTTAATATTTTACTTTAAGAGTCCATTTGATTGTAAGAACGGGATAAAATTTCCTAGAACTTGTTTTATTGAGAATTGTCAATTAAACGTGTTTGATTGGTATAATTTTCTACCTGAAAATGTTGAAATTTTGTATCTTTTGGTGTTCGTTTGACTTTATTTTTTCATGAAAATTATCAATTAAATGAATAGATTTTCTAATAATTATGGATAGAATTTGTTTCCATTATAAAAATAATAATAAAAAAAGGTGGAAAACCCATTTTCTCACCAAAACCAAAGGAATTGGTTTTCCACCAATTTAAGGAAAAGGTCACATGGTGGGGGAGGGGAAAATGAATTCCATGAAAAATTTATGCTATCAAACAAACAAAAAGTTGGAAAATGCAATTTTATTTTTCATTTTCCATGAAAAATCTTCCATATCAAACATGGCCTAATAGTACTCAGTACTTAAAAATATTTCAAGTGATGGAGAATATTTTGAGAGTACTAAATTTTTTCTCAATCCCGCTATGTGTACCCTTAGCCTTACCTGCTGGTTTACCCGGTGACATAGCAAGTGGCTTTTCCCACAAATTGAAGAAATTGAAATGAATTGAAAAAGGAGCAAAAGTTGCGACCCGGGCCCAACAAAAACCCCCAAATCTAGTGTTCCCAACACAATCCTTCATTTTCACCATTTCTAACCTAATGAACAAAAAAACCCCTCAAATGTAGAGAACCCTCGACAGCGAAAAAGAAGAAGGTCCTCATTCGGATTCGCCCACCCCCAACGACATGAAAATGCCAGTGCCCAATATATAAATTGTGTGTATGCTTGGGGTTCCCACATTCAGCCGATCGGCGACTTCTTTCATTTTTTGAATCCGCAAGGTAAAATCTCCACCATAGCGAGGAAGGGTATCCATCTCCGACGCTATCGCCTTCGGTGGATTTTCGAAGGACGTTATGTAAGTATGATATAGTTCATATGAAGGAACCTTGATGATTTGTTTGTTCTCGATTGATGCCCATTTTGACACAATTTATAAATATGTATGTATTTCAAATTTCGATCAACCCGAATTGGAAGAAGGATAAATTATCAGTGTGTGTATTTAATTTGTTCTTACACCCGAACTGGAAGAAGAAAAACTTTTCGGTGTGTGTGTATTTAATTTTTTTCTTCAACGCAAATTGGAATTGTAAAGATTTGAAGTTTATGTGCATTTCTTCTGGTTCTAATTGTAAAATTTTGAGATGGGCATTGTAAGCTTGTAAAATTTAGTAGTGTTTTAATTGTAATTTTGAGGTGGGCATTGTAAGCTTTCGTCTGGTTCTTTAAATTTAGCAGTGTTGGAAGTGTACATACCTTTATTGATCAATAAACACCAACACATTTGCAGTTTTGTAATTTGACAATGTTCTGTGTATGTCGTGCATTGATTGGTAATATGTTGATTGTTCGTATGTTAGAATGATAGGAAAGAATTCCGAAATCTGCCACAACTGTAGAGAGAAGGGGGATTTGTTTGCTGATTGCCCTAACAAACGACGATGCCCTGTGTGTAGACATGGCTTCATGAAGTGCTTTGGGGTTGAAAGGGAGACGAAGAACATGGGAAGGTTGTTCAATTGCTGCAGTGCTCGTTGTACCTACTGGGAATGGGTCGAAGTAGGAGAATCAAGTGGCGAGTCTAGTACTGTTACCATTAACTCGAACAACTCATCAGCACTTGAAGAAGTTCAACCAATAACTCACACACTTCAATCTCTTTGTCGGTTAGTGGAAGAACAAGACATTGAAATTTCTATAAACGTGACAATACGCAAAGGCAGCAGAAGTGCAAAAGCGGATAAGAAAGGGAAGGAGCTGACTTGATTAGGATTTGTGTTTTGTTAGGATGTTGTGTAATATATGGTCTGTTACTTGCACCTTTCGAAATTGAACAAGTCATTGTATTCTATGGAGTTGTACAATTTGCATTGTGTTTGCAACATAATTGTTTTATTGCTAGTGCAAAGTTTTACTTTTTAATGCTAAGAAGGCAAACTATTAAATGCTTGTAATTGGAGGGATAGTGCTAGTGCAAAGAGTTACTTCTACAGATTATTTTATTGCCAGTGGACTGCCTCTCTCCGAAATTCACAGAAACATCCCTGCATGCAATATTTTAATCCAGAACACATTCAATTAATAAGTGCACTTTTTGCTACTTATTAATTTCAGCCCCAATTACAAGCATTTTTACACAACCAAGGTTGCAAGAATATGAAAGCATGACATTCCATAAGATTAAAGCATCACATCAATTTCATGAACACTGCATTTTTTTATTTAAAACACTTAAACATTGCACCAATAAGTTGAAGATCATACAACTCAATAATTTCGACCACTCATAACCTATTACATCGCTACAGTCTCAAATTCAGTAGTTCTCTTCATCCAATGTCAGAAACTTGCGCCATTTTCATCAGGCACATTTGGATAGTAATACGGTACTGCGTTCCCTAGTGCAAAATGTACAAGTTAATACACAAACAAGAGAAAATAAGGAATTTGAAAGATGCATGTTTAAGTATGTTAGTACCTTAACTATTCCATGTAACACTTGTTGAAGCGGGAGGAATGACATTGGGGGACTATAGGTGTTGTGTAAGCTCGTGATAGTTCTCACCACCCTACATCAAAAAAAAATGTAAGAGCACACGTGCTAATGAAGTGTTTTACATTTAATTGTACATACCAGTAAGAGTTGTGAATATGACATCGGTGGAGGCATGTAGTATTGAACTTGATGGTGCGACTAAATTATTGGTGCACCGTCTCCCATTTGATCCGGGTATGCCTTCTATCTCCTTTCCTTGGCCGAACTCAGATTTGCCCGCAAAACAACAAATTAAATGGGGGCATTATTAATAGTATTATGCACTTTCGTAATACACAAAATGTTTGACGCATACCTTTGTCTTAGTAGAGCTCAATTCCAAAGCGCTTTTCCTTTGCAGTTTCCTGGGTGCACCTTTTCTCTTTGAACATATCGAATTATGTATGATACCTTTACCAGAATGCTGTGATGCTCCACTCTCCGAAGCTATCCGCTTCGTGCACTGGGACATGGCATTACTTCCACAACTCGACCTCATCGTCCCAACTGATAGTTCTTTGCTTTCTATACACTCCAGTATCGATCGGACTTCATTCTCATCATCTGCAATTATGTTTGCAAGCCTATCAAATGATTGACACATCTTGTCATATCTCAACTATGCCGAGGTGCTACTTAAACTATCATAGTTAACTACAACCCTTGTGTGAGCTCTGTCGACGTCTCTCATTTACCTTCGTAATATGTAGGTGTCAGGCAATAACTTCACGTTGTTATGGAGCAACACATTGATTTCAAGTCTGCAAATTATTCCTCGAAACTCAAATAAGTGGCAGCTGCATACAACTTCACAATTATCTTTCTAAAATGTGACACAGAACTTCTTCTTGTCAACCCAGTCGTCACGTATGACGTCCTTCCATACTTCATATGTAGTCCCAAAGCAACCCTCCGATGAAGAAACGAGGTCGTTGTAAACCTTCCCAACAAATTCCTCCTGTACTTCCCTAAATTTCGAGATCGTATAAACTAGCTGAAACCGCTTCTGCATCTCATACTTCGTAGCACATGGTACCATTTGCGAGAAGGACTTGAAGTCCACTTGAAACTCCTTCTCCACCTTATTCCTCAATGCCCGCTCATATTGTTGAACAAATTGCTTGAGCGATATCTTCGAATCTACGTATCAATCGAAAAACGCATTCATGCTCTCACTGCGCTGAGTGATCGACATTCCAGCCCAGAATGTTTTTTTCAAATAACAAGGTACCCAACGACCTCTGTTCGCGTACAATCCAGATAACCAGTTATCATCATGTAAGTTAACCTCTTCGAACTCTTCACCCATTTGAGAATCATACACCGTCACATGTATAGTAGAGAAAATCGCACCCTTACCGACGTGGTATCCAAACTTCTCTGGCAACTTCTTCAACATATGCCACAAACACCACCTATGTCGAGTGTTCGGAAGAACAATCTGAATCGCGTTTTGCATGGCCTTATCTTGATCGGTGATAATTCCCTTAGGAGTTTGGCCATGCATGCACTGAAACCAAGTCCTGAACAACACACATATGTTTCTGTACTGGACACCAAACCACAACCAAGTAGCGTTGATTGTCCATGATGATTAACCCCAACAAAAAGTGCGAACAGCAAGCCGTACTTGTTAGTTAGGTACGTGGTATTAAATGTTAACTCCTTATATTCTTGCCTACTCCTATTATCAGCCTAAAAAATATTCCTCAACCGTGACTCATCATCTAAATCCATAATAAAGTAAAAATTCGAACACCTTGTTTGCATATTCGAAAAGTAGGCTTGCATTGCTGCAGATCTCCGTCTCCAAGTCGTAACCGCCTAACTTGTTCAACATAGTTTCGACAATCCTTTCTATGCAAATCAAGTTCTCATACCCTCCCGCTTCTACAACTGCAACATTGTAACTTTTGTGCATCGAAATCCTTGCCATATCATTCACTTCAAGTCGTCGTTTGACATGGGCACTCAACTCTCGGTTGTAACAATACAACCTTGACTTCGAAGGACTTGTTTTGTGATTGTGATTGTGATTGAGATTGACTGTGTTTATTTTCCGTATTCCACATACATCTACAGAAGAAGTAATTCTTGCTTTGCAACCCGTCTGAATGGTAGCGTGCGGCTTCAAAGAACTATTTGCATTACTATTTCTTTGTCCTTCACGGCTACATGTGAACACAACCTACTTCACAACTCCATAATCATCCTTTTGCGAATTCCTTTTTCTAACTGGGAAGCCTACGTTGTACGCATATCTTTTGTAAAAATCATACATATCTTTTTCGTCGTTGAACTTCATACCCACCTTGGACACGGTTGTACCATCTACTCCCAGAATCCCATCATCCACTCCATCTACTCCTACTACTCTATCCTCCACCAAGTTGACACTGTCCACAATATCCTCATTATCGGATTGTAATGAAATATGTTCAGCCATCTCTTTTGAACTTTCGTCACTGCAATAAACAACCAATTAAAAAATGTTAAAACTAATTCACATAACTATTTTTTTCAGGGCAAATACATGTTCGAAAATAATGCTAACACATTATGACTGATAAAATATTTACTAGCATAAAAAGAGCACAATGTGACCTTGAAAAGAAATGACCATTATGACTGATAAAATATTTACTATATTGTTAATTTCTGATTTTGTGGCATCTTCTATCTAGGTCTTACTGCTAAAATTATTGTTCGAACCAAAACAATGTCAGATGTCTACTGTGATTTTTACAACATTGCTTGCAAAGCCATTTAAGCTTACAAGAATTTGCTCGAATTTGATCACACATGAATAATTTTGAGGTTTCTTTTAGAATCCATAATTCAGAGAGACATCATCAGGACTCTCTTCTAAATCGTCCCACAATGGGCATTATAGCAAAAAAAGAACTTTCACACCCATTTCTGTGCATTTTTATGTATATATGGACAAATTCAAGATATGATGTAACATGATTTCTTCTCTTGTTTCTGAAAATCTATTATTTGAATCTTGTAGGTGAATGACAATGATCCAAATGCCGATAAAATAAAGGGCAGGCCCAAATCAATTTTGAAAACTTACAGGAACTCTGGCACTTTAAAGGAGAGGTAGGTTAATTTGTCTGTGAGTATTACTTAACGATGCTTGCTAGTATTTCTGGTAACCACAGGAAACCTTGCATAATCAGTAACAGTGAGTCTTCTTGAATATTTCTTTATTAGAGTGTAATTTTATATTTTAAATTTAAAATAGTAGCATAAAAGGAAAATATGGGGTGAAATACACATTAACAGCAAGAAATGAAAATTTGCTATGGAATAAAACCACACCTTTCGTGCTCATCTCTTCCAATTCACAGTATCTTTTGGGCCAACGACCTAACTCACACGATGGCAACATCAACAGCTCCTTCTCAGCCGACGGAATACGGGATGGGCTGAAGACATCAATAGCTCTTTCTCGATCAGCTTCTTTCACGACAGGTAGAGTTCTCTCTTCATTTTATTTGGCGGGTTAAATGTAGTCACATTTTGGGCGGTTTTCCTTTAGCCACATCACGAGAGATTTTAACTTTGTATCTTTTCCCTTTTTCATTTATTTTTTCCCTCCTACAGTGGCTTTTCCAGCTCATCGTGTAAGGCAGAGTGTTAAGGGAAAGGTACAAGTAGCTTTATTCATTTTTTCTTAAGGACGCATTGTTGATCTCAATAAAATTACGTAATAAATCAACACGTCATTTTCTCTAATCATCATTCATAAATTAGATGCTAGGAGGCTTTCCAATGACGGCTTTAGGTGTGGCTGGTCTTGCTTAGACCACAATTTCAATTTTTCACATATAATTTTTTTTTTCATATTTAGAAGTGAATTTTATCTGATTTTTTTTTTGTTTTACATATTACTCCAACTTAAAAGAATTTTGGTTCGATCTTGGATCTGTCTTTGAGGTCGACAATGCCTCTGAGATTTTATTTCCATTGTTTGATATTATTAGAGGAGTCATATGACCCTTATTTGGGCCCCATTTTTTCATATTATAATGAAAGAAATAGTAATTTTTTTTTAAGAATGTGTGATTAAAAAGGGAGGAAAAGTTTTTAGGCTTATGTGTAATATTATTTTATTGAAAAATGTGTGATTGATAAGAAGAAAGAGAAAAATGAATTTTAATTTAATGGGGATCAAACAAGAGCATAATATAGTTGGATTATGTAATCTTCATTGTGGAGGAGTTTGGATTTTTTATTGGGGACTTAGTTTCGTTGCAATGCGTTCAAAATAACAAGTTATACGAGATTAGAAATTGTTGACCTCGGAAATTGGACCCTCCACGTGGCCAACCGGTAGCCACTCAACGTATTCCTCCCTGTGCATAGTCAACGCATGGTCAGATGCACACGGTCGGATCTAGCGGTGGTGGCGGCGGTCGTATACACTCCGACGGTCAAGTTAGGTTCAGGTATCGAAATATTACCAAAGTTGTGCAAAACAGTGGAGAGGAGAATATATATATATTTGCTTGCTATGGAGTGCTAAGTAGAAAGAGTTCCATTATCTTTGCCAAGCCTTGGGTATTTAGAGGTGAGGAGAGCCGTTGGATGTGGGACATATGTATACATCTGAACGGTATGAGGTGTTTGCTCATAAGCGTCAATCAGCCGCGTCTATAGAGTGGGCGGGTAGTTTCTTCTCCCGAGTTGAGTTGACATAAAGTTGATAGGTCACATCAACTAGCCTCATGGAAACGTCAAATCACTTTAAACCTTAAGGGCAGAAAAGATCTTGACAAAGATCTCATTCTGAAATCGACGACGGATCCTCTGGCCGAGGTCCCCGGGGTTAATTTTGCCTCGTATTTAAAGGGGGCGAGGGCGCTCGGTCAGTCCTGCAGGATTACCTATGCCTCGTAGTGTGATAGGATATCGTCTCCATTGGTGAAGTCACTTCGGAACCACTTCGGATGAGGGTTCCACACCTCGCGATGTGGTGGTGGACTTTCCGAAGTGGTTCAGTTAAGGGCATAACAGTGGTCCCTCAAGTCCAAGTATGAATATTTATATCATGGGTGGACTTGTCTTCCCGATCGGGTATGTATGCCTCGGGATGGGGACCGTGACTTGTGAGAACTTGAGGGTCGATTTTCTGTGTTTATCGAAGTATTGTTCCTAGGCAGATGCGCTAAATCTTCGCCACTACGTGAGGGAAAAAATTTACGTGAGGTAGAGGTGCTGACGAGTTGGATGATGTGTGGGGAGATAGTCAACGCAGCGATCGAGGTGATGACCCACAGGGGACTCCACGTCGGGTGTGCCTAAACTTTGTAAAGTTGAGTGAGAAACTCATCTGCCACCGGTGCGCTGACCCATAGGGGACGATACGTTGGGAGTTGGCTAAAACGTTGTAAAGCTAAGGAGGGAACGCAACGACTGAGGCAATGACCCACAGGGGACTCCGCGTCAGGTGCGCCTAAGCTTTGTAAAGTTGAGTGAGGAGCTCATCTGCTACCGGTGTGCCGACCCATAGGGGACGACACGTTGGGAGATGGCCAAAACTTTGTAAAGCTTAGGTGGGAAGACAGCGATCGAGGCGATGACCTACAGGGGACTCCGCATTACGTGCGCCTAAGCTTTGTAAAGTTGAGTGAGGATCTCATCTGCCACCGGTGCGCTGACCCACAGGGGACGACGCGTTGGGAGATGGCTAAAACTTTGCAAAACTAAGGAGAAAACGCAGTGACCGAGGCAATGACCCAGTAGGGACTCCGCATCAGGTGCGCCTAAGCTTTGTAAAGTTGAGTGAAGAGCTCATCTGCCATCGGTGCGCTGACCCGCAGGGGACGACGCGTTGAGAGATGGCCAAAACTTTGTAAAGTTTAGGAGGGAACGCAGTGACCGAGGCGATGACCCATAGGGGACTCCGCATGAGGTGCGTCTAAACTTTGCAAAGTTGAGCGAGGAGATCGATCCAAGGCGGGCGTATATGACGTTAAATGATTTGACAGTTTTTGCGTATTTCCAAGGTGACAGTTGGGTACAACGCCCATTCTCCTAAAAGACTGCTGCGGCTACTTATTGTTGACAGCTGGTGGTGATCGAGGTGACGCGTTATATGCGAGCATGAGGGTCGCAGCAAAATTTTAGGCGTAAATCAAATCTGACGTTTCATTTCAACGGCCTAGATTGATGATATGACGGACAGCCTAGATTGATTGCATTTGAATTCAACAGTGGAGACTAGTTGAAGTGCTCTATAAAAGGCGGACTTGAGCTTTTTTGAGTTTTTACTCTTGCAAAAATAGAAAATCCCATTACTCTCAAACCTCTTTGCAATTTTCGACGTTCTTCAAGCATTTCCGACAAGAACTTTGATTTTTCGATGACCACACACCACTTTTTGACCATTTTCGACTGGGGAACACTCAAACTCATAAGTTTTAGTAACTATTTTGAGTTATTTCCTTTTTGAAAATGGCTTCTGAGGGTAGTGCTAGTTTTGGGAAGGGGGCTAGAGTTAATATAGATGGACGAGCCCATTATGGCGACCTCTTCCAAAGTAGCCGAAGCGATACTTGGGGGAGAGAACATTTGGAAGAGGCCGGATAGCCCAGTAGACACCTTTGTGCATTGGGGGAGCGTCGGATGACCCCTCCAAGCTAAAGGAGGCCGACCTAGAAATACTTAGGACTGAATATAGGATACCGAATAGTATAGACCGGATCCTACTTGAGCCTGACGAGAGGGCCTGCTACCCTAGGCCATGGTGCGTGGTGATAAGCGAGGCGATCCTTAGGGCCAGTCTTAGGCTTCCACTTCATCCTTTTTTATGGATGGTGCTTAGGTCTTATGGCTTAGCACCGACCCAACTGAACCCGAACTCCTGGAGCGAAATGGTGGGCTCCTAGATGTTATGGAAAGAGGTGTCTCTAGGGATGGAGATGCCCTTCTCTATTTTTCAGACCATCTATATTCCAAAAGTAACAGCCAGGGGAGGGGGAATAAGACCAGGGGCTAGTATTACCTGACCTCTTGGGGTTCACATACTCTATTCATGCTTGATCTACCTAGCTCCATCAAGAAGTGGAAGAGCTCATGGTGCTGGGCTGTTGGGAGATGGGACACGATGGAGGGGGACCCCTTGGCACCTCTTACGATCCTCACGAAGTACTCGTCACTTAGTGAGTATTGTAGCTGTATTTCTTTTTTATTTCTCTTCGGTTCGGATTATAACTAACATTCGTATTCATTTTTTGAAGTCACTCTTCCTCGGTGCGAGCTGTCCTCTGATGATTTCGAGATCATCTGCATCATCTATCAGCTACCTCCAAAGAAGAGGTCGTTCCATCGACTGATCAGAAAGAACCTCTATTTTTGTGACGCACGACCAGATGATCTTACAAGGTAATATCTCGAAGCGAATACCTTTCAATACTTTCGAATCGTTTAGACTTGAACTAATTTACTTGTTTCTTGCAGATAACTTCAATAAGAAGATGCCTCTCCGGTCCGACTTCAAAACAATACAAAAGATGATGGCCGAGGCGAGGGCCTTGAAGAACTCATCATCCTCCTATAAGAAGCAGATGGAGGACTTAGTGGATGCTAGCAAGAGGCTCCCGCCTCCAATGGAGGAGGAGGCGCCTGAGGATCCAGAGGTGAATCTGCTTCGAAAGGGCAAAAAACACGTTGCCCCTTCTAAGCGGCCAACGGTGGAGAGGCCACCCCCTGTTCTGAGGCAAACCACAATACTTACCGGGGTGGCCATTCCTGAG